TGGCCGACTACCACGACCAGCCATGACCCGATTGCACAATAAAAATACGTATAATATATATTATAAATACACACAAATCTATATAAATACCAAACATGTTAAAAATTTAAAAAAAAAAATCAAAAATGTCTAGACTGAACGATGGCTGGAWTGTCTTTGTACACCACCAACCGTTGGTCGGAGACAGAGAACGTGTATTCCGGCAAATTGATTTTGTATAAAAGTGTTCTCAATGATTTTCGTTTTCGTTATGATTATTTTATTTTTTAATTTTGATTTGATTTAATTTTTTTTTAAATGTATTATCGTTATGATTGATTTTCATTTTCGATAATCTAATTATACTTTTGATTTTTACTATAATATAAATTTAAATAAAACAAATATCGTTAAGAATGACCCCTCTCCTCTCCACTACCACGCTTTAATGCAAAACAACTAGGATTTTATGATTTTTACCGTTTTTTTTAAATTATTCTACTTTTAATTACGTATAGCTTAAATCTATGCTATTAATAATAAATGTTTCTTTGTGTACTTACTTCCAAAATAGATAATGAATTATACAAATCGTACATTAATTACTAACAGTTTATTTATCGGTTAGCAAATATGTGCTTTACTAAACTACCAAACATTTTCCTCTTCAGGGGTGTCTTGGATATTTTGGGTGTATATTCGTTCACGTGCCCATTAGTTTGAATACTATTTATTTATTTATTATTAATTTTTTTCATGTATAAATTTAAGATTTATTATTATTATTAAATTAAATAATGCTCGTAAATAAAATTTTGAGTTAATGCGCTGTAGAATTTTATTGAAGTACATTTAAAATAAAAGGAGGGGTTATAATTTGCATGCCATTTTTATAATATTATATTAATAAAACAATCGACGTCAAAAATTATATTGTTATCGGTAGCTTGAATACCACAAAAAAGCGATTACAGCCTCAACCAATAAATATTACTATTTTTATATTCATATTAATATGTACATTTGTTCTAAAATGCCCGAAATTGCATGTGATATAGCAATATTTGTGGCAATCACCCCTCCCTGACTGATGATCTACCATTTTAGAGCTGAAGTGTTGAAATATTTACAATGGTAATAATATTTCGATAAGTTTAATTTACGCTTTTCTAGTAAGGGCATATTTATATTATAATTATGATATTATATAAATWTATTGTAGATCATCATATCTTATGAGATATACTCTCGCGTGTAATATATGATATATATGTATAATATGTTAAATATAAAATATAACAAAGAGACGTATGATCGAAGATCTTTTTTATTAATGCATTTCTTTATAATACTCATATATATTACGTAATTGGTCTCGCTAATTAAAAAAAAATTGTTGTTACTAATCATTACAACTAGTTCTGATGATACAGAATCATCAGAGTGCTTTGTGTAATATTTTCTAAAAATTATATACATGTATTATATATATATATATATTGGCCCACCTGTTTTATAAAACTTGGCGTTTTTAACATTTTCGTGCAAGTATATGAATGTTGGCTATGTTGAGTAGACAATTTATTCAACAAGAAGATTATTTATAAGTTAATGGTTAAATAAATTGTTTCATATATATGTCTTTACTAAACGTTTTGATACAAATTGTGTTTTAAGAAATCAACAGCTCTGTATGTTATTTGTATTTTTGCTATTGTGTTGAATAACAAAGTCAGGTTTAGCATTTGTACATTTCCATATTCCATACACATAAAATATAACTATTGCATTTTACATMATTCTTATTTTCTAAATTATATACATGATACTTAAATATATATTTAATGTATATATTATTGTTATTATGTAAAACAATAATTTAATGATTCAGAGTAAATTTTTGTAATGTCATAATCATTGTGAACTACAGGAAACATAATGTTACTGTTTAATTAATTAATGGCATTAAGCAATTTGGTGTTGAATAGCACAAACCTGGTAATCTGATACCTATTTAAATTGATAATATGTACTATTTTGTGCTTGTACAACAAAATATGGTTTTCATGGGATGTATAACAATAACACTGTGATATGTGAAATACTATTAAATTAAAATAATACAAAAAAATTTTTTTTAACAATATTAATTAATTTAAATGTATAGTACAGTAACGATAAAAGGTTATCAGACATCACCAGTGGCATTGTTTTAGCTTTTCACAAAAACAAAAAAATGAATTAAGTATGTCGATAAATTAATATTTTATATATATATATAATTATTTAAAAGTTATGTATTATGTGTATTTTTTTTTTTACTATAGTCATGTAGACAATACTTGTTATGCCCTGAAAAAGTTATCCCCTGCTATGCAGTATGAAATTGTAAATTTTTTCTTTAAGGTACATTTGTCAAAATCAATTATATAAGTTTATTATTTTATGATGTAATAATATAAGAAAATATCACATGAAACCAATTATTCATAAGAATTTTGACAAACGTGACCTTAAAAATAGTGTAATCATAGTGTATGTTATAGTCCTTTTTTATCGTTTAGATATTGTAACACCATTAAGTATAATGTAAGCATTTTTACAATAGATATATTGTTTACAATTCTGTACATTTTTATGTATACATATGATATATTATGTATGTGTATGTAAAGATATTATATAATATATATATATTTATATAATTAAAATATTTTAAACCATAATTACATAACCTGTATAWTATTAAAATGTAGTTTAATGTAGGTAAACAAAATACCTAAAAATGAAAATGGCTCGAATATCATAACRTATTAGTTGTGATGTAACACCATACTTAGTATGTATAATAAAGAACAATTTTTTTTAAATCATTATTATTATCAGTTCTGCAGGACTTAAATTTGTTTCAATTTATAGTTATAATAAATTTATTTATTTTAAAAATAACAAATACCTATTGCTTTTATGCCAAGAGTGCTGATAATACTGTCGTTTGTAATGTATTATATAAATACAAAAATAAATAAATAAATAAATATATTGAATATTATGTTAAATGAAATGCTTATACAAATTTTAGTAACCGTTTTCATTCTTGATTATGTAAAAAGAAAAAACGTCAATCAATTGTTGTACATTTATTGTTTAGCCCTAATAAAGATGTATAAAAAATAAATAAAAATATAATTAAAAATGAATTGATTGATGGTTGTACAAAATTATCTACTAGATTCTATAGTAGGTGCATTTACTCTGTCAGAAGTATTAGGTAATTTGAAATGTTATACCTGTAGCTGTTACTGGCAAACCATTTTAAATGGTGTTCTAGAATCTAAAAGACACCAAAAAAAATTAAATATTATAATAGTCTAGAATTTAGACTGTAATGAAACTATAATGGTTTTTGATATAGCTATCATCAAATTACGATGGAAGTGCAGAATTCCGAGATTCGGCCAATCCTCTCCGTGTTACTCTCAGGATCTGTGATATATTCGGCCTGAACTTGTGGTTGACTATTATGCAGCTATCTATGAATTTTGTTATCTGCATAAGGTTAAAATATAAAAAAWTTGATGATCATGTTTATGGTTGATTTTAAAACTTAAAGTGAAACAATGGTTATACGTAGGGCCCGGATTTATATGCAAATACAATCCACATTAAATTGTTATAAATATTGATGTTCTATAATGTGTAGATTCTATGGTTATTTTTTGCATACCTATTGGCTATTGGTTGCATAAATGTTGCATATTCTATAAAAATAATAATAATCATTTAAATTATATCTTTATTCAATAAAACAAATCATCAGACATAAATACGAACAAATATCTACTGTTCATCGTAAAGAATTCATTATAAATAACTTCACTAATTTAACTATACAATAATTCAGCATATTTATAATATGAATCTGCATAATTTATTGATGTTTATTGCATATAAATCGAGGCCCTAGTAATAAATAATAATGGATTATAAGGTATACTGCAATATATTTTGCATTAATATGTATATAATTTATAAAAAAAATTTTTATTTTCAATCTTATTTTATACAAGAACTTTTTTTTATTTATACAAATATTATTTATTTATAAATATTAAATGTTTAAAATTTAAATTGTTTAATGTTATACAAGTTTCTAAATAAACAAAATTCAACCAATACTCATTTTTATACAATTATGTAACATTCTTGTGCACTTAATCATGTTAATCTTAATCATGTTAATGCATCTTAATAATTTATTGTGCATATCAAACATTATTTTTGCCATTAGGTAAAGAGTATAAACACATAAATACTGACCTTTATTGAATAAATGTCTGAAGGTATGGGTGGGTAAAATCCATTTATTATTCTTTTGGTCATCAAGTTCATATCTAAAGTATTCAAATGAAATGGAGCCTGAAGTGCTACCAACTAAAACAAAACTATCAAAGTGAATAATGGCATTGTAAATTATGTTAATCTTAAAAAATTWAGAAACCATGCTGAATGATTTCAATAGAATCATGTCCTTCCTTAATTAGCTAAGTTAAAACACATGAGAGGATAGGTATAAATGTATGATGCTCTATTGCTCTCGCTAAACCTAAATTTGATTTTTACGTATTTTAAACTTATAATTCATATTTAATATATTGGTTTCATTACCATTCAAGATAACTAAATTAGGTCTATGAATTAATAGTTAGTAATAAGTATTTAAGATGAATTTAAATATATAGACAAATTATTATTTTGATATCTTCTAATTTATATGAAAACTTGAATCTATTTTTTGTTTGATGAAATTATAACTACCTATGTGTCATGAACATTTATAGGAGTGATTATATTATATACTATAGTAACAGGGGGGACTATTTAGGAGATGACTAGAAAAGGCTTAGCCACCACAAAAATGTACCTATTCCTATATAATATATTATAGTTTGAGAATGAAATATAAACATTCAATTAATTAGGTATCTGATCCATGGTAAATTTTATTTTATTTTTTTATATATATATTTAATATTTAAAAAAAATGTTGTTTTAACTATTTTTCTAACGATTATGAATAAATAAATGATTAGAAATGARTCAGAAATTAATGTGGTAAAAAACTGTATGTCTTGTAGAAATACTATGTTGTAAATATAAAATTAATCATGAATGCTGAGTTTTAGCCTAATTTTTAACYGGTTTCATTWTCATTAACAATTTYGATCAGCTCTGCGGAATGTGAAAGATTAATCTATAGAATATTATTTTTTAATAAGTTTTCTTCAATCTTTCTTGAATCAATAAAGTAACAATAATTTATGTTGAAAGAAATTTGTCTATTGTGCAGTCATTTATACAGACAATTTGAAATTATTAAAATTTTCAAATTGTATCAATATTTTTAATCTTAGTATTAACTAATAGATGTATAGAATAATAAAATATACTTATTATATATTAATTATTAAATTTAGGAAAAGGGCTCAGCTAAAAATGATAAATATATTATGTAGAATTGTAATATTATATTAAGTAATTATAAGYCTTACTAGCCCTTTAAGTAGAGATACAGCATAGGGTGTGGTTATGTAAGACTGTTTTAGTTAATTATTATTGGTATCTCCGCATAAAGATCTTAAATTGTGCTCATATAGTTGTGATTTGTGAAATATTCGACTGCTTATATGAATGATATAAAGCTCTCTTAAGAATATTTAATTAAATACAACAATATATATTAAATATGTAAATATATTCTGTGATCAAATTTAAAGGTTTAGGACATTATTTGTATATCWACTCTCTCTAACTAATTTATTTACATTCTTCAGGGAATTATAATAAWTTTTTTATTTTAATATTTTACATGCCAACCAATAAATGATAAATAAATAAATGAAAAGGTAAATGATTGCAARTAAAAATATCGTAAACAATTTAATGAATCGCTGTAAAATGTATATTAAGCTAAAAACACTAAATTGGTTGTGCTGAATAAAATTTTATAATGTTTTACTGTTTAAACAAGACGGTTTTATTTAGACCGTAGCCATTTCCCTCCAAAAACGAGATACCGTTTTCCTCCACTGTCCATTTTCCACCAATAAATAATATATAAAATAATAAAATATAGTCGGTATAAATAATTTATACATGACAAAAAAAAAAAAAGATAAATAAATTGATTATAATATAATATTTTTTTTTATAATTATAGAACATTTCAGCTGCAAATGAATACCTATTTAAAGAAAAGAAAAATTAGATTTAATATGAATAATTATTTTACTTTTTGTAATTTCTCAGACTAGCGTTTTTCGATAGGTACCTACTTTGCTGATGTAGCTGATAGTCCAGAATGTAATCATCAACCACTAAGTGTAAACTGTGATCCTACCTTTACTCTATCTTTATAATACTGAACGCCACACTGGTTAAAACGTTGAAGGAAAATAGTCATAATTTTAGTCGAAAATAATGTGGAGAAAAATCAAACTTTTTTGTGGAGGAAAACAAACGGTATCTCATTTTTGGAGGAAATTGGAACCACGCCTTAATTAAACTTTAGAAGATTTAAACTACTTATACTAACTGTAAGGCTGGACAATTGCTACCTACTGAAATAGTTTAGTATTTTTATATATGTTTACATATAATGAGATTTATAAGTTATAATGAATAGATGGTGCGATTATTTTAGTACGTTTGTACAAATATAGGTACATTATTATAGTAATTGACTTTTATTGGGAATAAAATTATGGAATTTAAGTCTTCCTTATACATTTATAATTTTGATAAATAATAACGTTTAAGGTATTTATTATTGACACCTGATAAAAAATAAATCCGCCTGAACAGTAATTCGACTGTCATATATAACACTCCAACACTGATAAAAAATAAAATATTTAAATTTATGTATAATTATATGATTAACATTTTAACTACCAATTAAACGTCTGTCGTTTGTAATTAATTTATCTTGTTATATTGCGCTATACCAAAACTAAAATAATACCAATAATCAACTTGTACTTAATTTTCCATTCATTACAAAACAAGTTTATGAGTGTGGCTAAGGATAATTAAAAAAAAAAATTAAAGAAATTATAACAATAACAACTTAACTCAAATTTATTTGTATATTTAAATTAGCTTTAATTTAAATTAGTTAATTTGATTCAACGATAAAAACTAAGTTAACAAATTAGTTTTAAAAAATTGATTTACTTGTCTGTCCATCTTTATGCAAAAGGTCCTACCTGGCTTAGTTTTAATTTTTCATATTACATATTTCAATAAAAACATTTTGGACCCGGGATCCTATGATTTTGTACGTTCTATACGATCGGACATTGGCTTTAGTTTAAAATAAAATGTATTTATATAGATTGTGTAATCAAACAGAGTTTTGTTAATATAGGTATCATCTGAAGTATTACAGTACTAGCATCACTAAAATGTAGCATTATTGGTTAATACATTAAAATATAATACGTAAAGGGTAAATAATTAGAACGTGACCATGTCACGAACCTGCAGGTACAGTATATACCTAGGTAGGTTGATACTATATTTAAGCTATACTAAACACATAGAAAGATAATATTATTATCATGATTTTTAAATGTATTCATTTCTAAATACACTATACAGACATACGCCAGTACGGTTCCAGATACATGAGGGGAGGGGCTAAGTAATAACTCTCAGAAAACTTTCAATATCATAATATGTTTTTTTTTTTATAATTTTATTTTAAACGATAAGTATACAATTTCTGGAGCCACTCCTGTGCATATAATAAGCATCTATATTTTTATATGGTATTAAATCGCAGTAGACTGTGTTAAAACATACATACTAAGTACTTATTCTAAAGAGAGTTTGTTGCTTGAAATGACACTACTATAACCTAAGACCCTGCAAGTAACTACACTAAATCCAGATTCCTGCRGATTATGGACAATAATGTGCCTAACTGCAAAAACCGAATATATTTAAACATTAAACTTGATTTAATAATAAAATGTCCAGCCTTTTCCCTCATAAGTAATTAAAATTGTAAACTGCAGTGTTGTATAATTTATATCCTCATTTACAATGTGCGCTATATAGTTGCTAAATTTATAAAGGACTGTCGTTTATCTAGAAGTGCGGTGTATTATTGTAAAATTATTATTAGGTAACTAAAACATTATTATTATGCTATTATAATTAGTAAGTGTCGCGTACCTCGTATATGACACAAGCCATTGACCATATGTCGCTGTCAAAGTAATACTTTTGGTGTAACATCCTCTCGGGGCTCATGTACAGTGGAGAGCCCAACACCGATCGACAGGTCATGTCCGAACCGTTCGCGATGTCTTTGCTAAATCCAAAGTCGCCGAGCTTGATCTTCACATTTTCCCACCGCTCGTACAGCGATTGCTCGTCTTCTTTCAATCCGTATACGAAAATGTTGGCCGGTTTGATGTCTGTATATGTGCAATACACAAAGCTTAAACTTCAAAGTATAGGTATGCAAACTACGCTTTTTGTTTACATAAACAAATTATCTGCAACTATCAATTTTAAATAGGTATAAAAAAAGTACCTTAAATTTAAAGAAAAATGTTATACATCGATAATTAGAATTTGTGACAAAAATTAGAAAAAAATMTTTTTACTTTAGAAAAGTGCTCTGCAGTATACCTATAGCTATTAAATAATTTAATTTACTATAAAAAAAAAAACTATATTTTAATTTAATCAATTAAAGTTATGTCCAAATGTTTAATGTTATCATTTATCAAGTGTAATTAGCTAATATGTATCTATAGATTATTACTTGTATAATTAGATTAATAAAATCTCAAAAATTGATGTTTTAAATTTACAAAAGTGTAAATAGGTACATTATTATAGGAGCATTATTATGGCGTGTGCACGGGTGTAGCGACTAGTGCTTTCGCTGCATTTTGAAGTTAGTAGGTCGGTGAATATTTATTTAAAATTCTTACTTAGTATGAATAATTCTAAAAGCTTTAAATTCAAAATTAAATTATCTATCAAGCGAGGAATTTAAAAATAGATGTGTTATAGGTATACCTTGGTATTGATGAATGTAGGCGGTATGCTCGTGTACGACATAGGTACATTCAGTACATTATTACACGCATGCGAATACCGTTCAAGTGACATGGCCCATCGACCCATTTATATACGCCTTTATGAAATTATTTTTAAAAATATTCAATCGGAGAAAATAAAATATRTTATTATGTACCTCGGTGCATGATTCTTGATTTGTGCATGTGATAAAGTGCACTGGATAATTGGACGGCACAGGACCAAATGGTAGGTTCTTTAATTAGATTAAAATTATCATAATGTTCATGGATGATCCGTCTTAGATCTCCRCCAGTAGCCAGTTCCAACCCAATTTTCAGTTCAAAATCCGAAAAATCCCACCACAAACATCGTATGATATTTGAATGGTTCAGTTTCTATTAAAAACATAAATAATAATTTATTAATGATGATTTATTTTAATACTTATTAGAGAACATGACATTTTTCAAAGTAAGTACTAAGTAAATTATGATTTACAATTTATGTCAATATTTTTAGCGTATACAATAAAATTCCATGGAGTAGGATCGAAGGTAGTGCGAAGTAAGTAGGTACATAAGAATTTCAAGTTTTTTAAGGTGAAGCAATATATTATAATATATTAACCAAAAGTAAACAGGTACTTATAGTATAGTTTTATGTGGATAGCCTTGCAGGAGAACTGGCATAATATGGAAATCGCACATCCATCGCATGGCTTTCAACAAATTTTGACTACAGATTTTAATGATTGGAAACACATAGATATAGCAGAAGGCATTAATTACTTAAGACCTATATTTAGCTGGGGTCAAAATTTTGTGGGTGCACATGTTTCTCAAACTACATTCTTTTAAATTGAATAAAAATATAAAACTAAAGGCCCGTTGGATTATTTTACCATGTGCTTTAGAAGTTTTAGTTACGCCACTGGAACAAGGACACATTCTGTAGACTATATGACGAGGAAGGTACCTTTATAAAGTAGGTACATAAATGTGAAATAAGTTATTATAATTTACGTCGTATTTATGCAAAAAGAATAAGATATAATAAATTATCTATCTACTAGCTGCTTCAATTTACAAAATAAATTAAATAAATCTGTTCAAAGTACCTGCCTATAGGCATTCCAAATTGTTTCTTATATATTATATACGAATTTTAATGTTTARTATTAAGTATTTAGAAAACTTTTAATACGATATTAATTTTGAATAATTTTAAAACATCCACATTTTACATTTTTCCCTGCTAGTGTATTTTAAATCATCATTAATATTTAAATACCTAAGTATATATATTATCAATCATCATAGTATAATCCATAGACCCAGTGGCGGATTAACGTATATATAGGCCAAGTAATATATATGTTACGG